AGGGGAGAGGCCTGGGGTAGACCCCCAGGGCCCTGGGAAAGAGCACGCCCGGTTCACACTGTGACCGAGGACTTGGCCTTCAGAGCTGAAAGTGCATGTCTGGTGACCTGGACCCCCCAGTTTGTGGCACTGTGTTAGGGCAGCCCCAGGAAACGGGACAGCAGCCCCGCTGAAATGCCAGGCCCCTGCATCGCCCATCCTTTGATAAGCAGCAGTGTCAGCAGCGAGATCTCCCAGGCACAGGGCAGACACAACCACGCAGCTGCCACATGAACACCAGTGAACACCAAGCGATGTTGTGGGAAGATACGTTTGGTTTTCTTTTGTTTTTTGAGTTGGAGTCTCATTCCATCCCCCAGGCTGGAGTGCAGAAGCACGCTCACAGCCACGCCAGCATTGACCTGCTGGGCTCACGCAATCCGTCCACCTCAGCCTTCCGAGTAGCTAGAACTACGGGCACACACCACCACACCCAGCTTATTTTTTTATTTATTGTAGAGACAAGGTCCAACCAAGTTTCCCAGGCTGGTCTCAAGCCCATGAGCTCAGGCAATCCACTTGCCTCGGCCTCCCAAATTGCTGGGATTATAGGCTGAGCCACCGAGCCCGGCCCATGTTCTTTTTTCATTTGTATTTCAGATTCAGGGTTATACACGCATGTTTGCTATGTGGATATATTGTGTAGTGGCGGGGACTGGGTCTCAAGTGACCCATTCCCCAGATAGTGAATATTGTGCCCCATAGGTAGTTTCTGAACCCTAACCCCTCTTCTTCTTCCCATCTCCCCCTTTATTGGCATCTTTGGTGTCTATTATTTCCAAGGAAGATTTTTATTTTGATGCATCAAAGTAATGCACGTGAGGTGTGCACATTTAGAAAGTACAGCAATACACGATTAAAGCTTTTAACTCCTGGAAATCCAGCCACCCATATCCATGCTTCTCCCTTCCATTGGGTCCATGCTGTATTCCTAAGTGGGCCTGCAGGCCTGTCCATGCCAACATACTCCAAAGTGTGTCCCACATAGCAAGATGCCCCGATGCTGGCCACGAAGGGTCCTGTTGGAAACACACAGCCTCTTACTCTACCATGACCCTTGGTGGCCGCAAATGATGGTGGTATGAGCGCCTGTCACTTAGGGTTAAGGGTGCCGAGGATTCTTCCTAAGTGATGGCCAGGCGGGTTTCAGCTTCACCACAGAAAGGAATTTCAGAGTGAGTCCAAATTATCGTTTAAGAATTTATTAGCGCCGGGCTCGGTGGCTCAGCCTGTAATCCCGCGCCTTTGGGAGGCTGAGGTGAGTGAATTGCCTGAGCCCGTTTAAGAATTTATTAGAAAGAAAAAAGACACACTCAAAGGAAAGTGTGTCTTAAGACTCAGCACCCCAACCTGTTAACTGAGTGTATTATGTATTTCCTTAGTAATAACTAGGCAACCTATTTCTTAGACTAAGATTTCTATGTTATGTGGTGGGTTACAATCTATGGATCATATGTTTTTACTCTTCTCACCTAATTCTGAGCTTGTGTCCCATGAAAATCTTGAAATAACGGGAAAAGTTGATTTTACTATTTTTTTTCCTGAAAACACCATCCCCCAGTACCTCCAGTGTCTGGTTCAGCATCAGTATTGTTTTAGAGAGTTGTGTTCTGATAAAGTAATGTCTAGCTGGATATCTGACCATTGGGCTTTTTTAACTATTTAAGCTATCCCTGCCCGCAAGAAACTTGTCTGTTTATCTCTATTCTAGTTACCCTGCCTCACTAAGCGCCTGTTGCATCCACCAAATGGCCCCACAAAGGGGGCAGCACCAGAAGGCCCGTGCTCCAGTCTTGCCGGCAGGGATCACAAAGCCTCATTGGTGGCTACCTTGACGTCGCCTTCTGCTTACTGAGTGTGTGCTGTTTCACTCCTAGGGAGGGTGAAAGGCTTACTTGTCTTACTGGTCATGGGCACATCCCCTTGCCCTGAACGGCAGCAGGGCAGTGGGCACGAACCACAGGGCACAGCACAGGCTCAGGCAGAATGTGTCTCCAGCTTGTGGACCAAGGACCAGTCAAGAAGGCAGGCAGGCAGGGCCCTCCCAGGGGGAATCCAGAAGCCCAACCACGTAAGACCAGAAAGGAAGAAAGCGCCCCGCTTCCGGGCGAAGGGTATGGTTTCAAATCCTTGGTATTTACTGTATGGGGAACCCTACAGTGCCACAGGAGGAGGGAGGCTGGTGGCAGGGGTGCCCAGTCGATGGGGAGCGCAGCGAGTCTCAACCGATGCCTGGGCCCACCCAGTTCCGACTCAGCTGGTCCAGGACCCCAGCAGGAACACCGCTCGAGTGCCCCGATGCCGCTGCTACACAGCCCACGTGGACAATTCTTCAGGAGGACCACTGCCTCTCGCTGCTCCTGGCTCTCACCTTCTTTCTTCCTAAGCCCTTTCAGAAGAGGATGCTGGTCAGAGAAGGGCTCCCACACACCTCTGCTCCCCTTCTGAGAAGGGTCACTACACAGGACGCAGGTGGTCCGACAGCTCCTCACCCATGTCTGCCAGCCCTGGCAGCAGTGACCACCCGGAACCAAGCTGTCCCCATGTGCGCAAAGGTCCGCTCCACCCCAAACTCTGTAGCCCGGGGACCACCTTCACCCTGAGGATGGAGTCCCTCTAGTAAGCCGCAAGTCGTGGAGGCAGCTGCCTTAGGGCTACATCTCCCCTAATCTGCAGTTTTCGGAGGATGGCCCTGCCCGGGCTTGGGCAAAAAAAAGCTATGTTCGCGTCCTAACACCCAGAGCTTGTGACTGTGACCTTATTCCGGGAAGGGGCCTTTGCAGATGCAATGAGGGTAAGAATCTTAAGATTAGGAGATCATCCGGGATTATCCAGCCTTATACCCAGTGACTGGTGTCCTTACAAGACAGAAGGGGAGACACAGACAGCCCAAGAGGAGGCGGCCATGTAAACAGAGACAGAAACCGCAGTGACGGGTCTACAAGCCAAGGAAGACCAGATTGCCAGCGTCCCCCAACGGCCAGGAGAGAGGCCTGGTTCTGACTGCCTCTCAGATCCCCAGAAGAAAGCAGCCCTGCTGACAAGTTGACTTCAGACTTCTGGCTCCCAGAACTGTGCATGAGTTTCTGTGGTTGGAAGTCACCCAGTGTGTGGTCCTTTGTTACTGCAATCCCAGGACACTCACACACCCTCCCTTCAAAACAATTGAAAGTGCTCTTGCAGAAGTGACGGTTGGGGTGCAAATGAAGTGCCCAGGAGCGGAGAACCTGTCTGTGCTGCTAACATTTCCCCAAAGCAAACATGAGAGACACCTAGCTCCGGGAATGGAAAAGCCACCCCAGCCCTGCAGGCACCAAGGAAACCCCAGCTCAGGCTTCCCTTCCGAAGGCCACATGTCCTCATTCTGGGCAGCCCTCTCCCTCCCGAGAGCAGAGCCCGTGATAAAGCCCAGGGACGGAGTCACAGTAGCCCATTCCCAAGCAGGGGAGCTGCTCAGGGACACCCCAGGTTTGATTGGGGGTTGGACATGTGCTGTCACGTGCTAGCATGTGCTTCCTTTGTTGCAATTGCAAGGTTAAGGCCTGGGCTGTGACATCCTAGGAAACGTCCAGAACCCTGCAAAACAAGCCAATCACAGCCAAGCAGCTTCCATTCCCGAGGCCAAGGCGCTTGCTTGGGACTGGTGGAAGAAATGGCATCAGAAACTCCTGACATGTAATAAACTTCCCCCCACCCCCACCCCCACCCACTCACTCTCGGTGAAGACAGTGAGCTCTGGTGTTAGAAAGAACTGCATATGTGTGTGAAGCACCCTTGGGTCAGAACACTAGGTGGTCCCAACCCCAAACCTAAAGCAATGAAAGAAAACAACAGGTCCACGTGACTGCATAAAGACCAAAGAATTCAAGGCCAGAGGACAGTAGCAGCAAAGTAAGAAACGCTATCTGCATTCCTATCTATCTGCATTCCTATCGAAGGCAAGAGCTCATCCTGCTAATAAACAAAGAGCTCCTGAAGGCTGAGAAACAAAACATAACAGCCCAGAAGAAAATGAGTAAAAGAAGCCCGCATGGTGGCTCATGCCTGTAATTCCAGCACCTTGGGAGGTGGAGGTGAGAGGATTGCCTGAGCCCAGGGTTTGAGACCAGTCTGGATAATGTGGCAAGACCTCATCTCTACAATAATTTTTTTAATTAGCTGGGTGTGGTGGTACACACCTGTGATTCCAAGCTACTGGAAGGCTGAGGTGGAAGGATAATCTGAGTCCAGTAGGTCAAGGCTGCAGTGGCCGTGAGTGTGCCACTGCACTCCAGCCTGGGCAACAGAGTGAGACTCTGGCTCAAAAACATAAAAAAATTTTAAAAATCACCAGCCCAGGCAACACAGTGAGACCTCACGGCTACCAAAAAAATCAAAAAATTAGCCAGGCGTCATGGTGCACGCCTGTAGTCCCAGCTACTCGGGAGACTGAGGCAGGGGAATGGCCTGAGCCCAGGAGGTTAAGGCTGCAGTGAGCCACAACTGTATTACTGCACCCCAGCCCGAGCGACAGAGTGAAACCACGATTCACAAAATAAAAATCAGCCAGGTGTAGTGGCACGTGCTTATAGTCCCAGCTACGCAGGAGCCTGAGGTAGAAGGATCCCCTGAGCCCAGGAGGTTGAGGCTGTGGTGAGCTGTGATCATGTCACTGCACTCCAGCCTGAGTGTCAGAGTGAGACCCTGACTTAAACAAACAACAAAAATATGAACCGCCATTCACAGCAGAACTGCAAAGAGCCCTTAAGCCTCTGAAAAGACACTTAAGCTCACTCTCAGCAGAGGACTGCATGCCTAGCGATGGCAAGAACCCAAAGGTCTGCCCACCCCTCCTCAGCAGGGCTCTGGGGAAACAGGGCAGGGAGGCAGGAAACCAAGCCTCAGAGAGGGCGGGGCTCCAGCACCACCCTCCCCATCACACATGTTCAGTATCCCAAAGGCATACGCGATGAGTGCACAAGGATGTTCACGGTGCCGTTATTTATGACCAAAAGGACTGGAAACAGCCCGAACGTCCATCAACAGCAGCGAGCGAAACACACCATGGCACAGCTGCAAAGCGGAAGACCACGTGGCCCAGGAGAGCTGGGGGCCAGGCAGGCAGAGTCGCCCAGCTCTGCCCAGATTCTCCCAGAACACCCTGCATTCCTGACTTTCCCAGGAGGGAAGGAGGCGGGGCCGTGCAGAGGCAAGAGGCCCAAGCACACAGAGTGGAACAGAAAGAGCAGAGCGGCAGGCCTAACTGGGGCTCTGTCCACACCACACCAGGTGACCCAGCAGAGCAAGCAGCGAAGCAGAGGGCCCTGCAGCCAGCTCCGGGCTTGGGGCAGTGGTCCCCCGGTTGTCACCCAGCCCTTAGTCCTGGACTCAGCAGGCGGCACGGGAAGGCACAGGCTACACGGCCCTGGGCGTGTCATCGGCAGGGGGCCTCACTCCTCTGGCCTACTCGATGCACTCCATGACATGTATCTGCAGGGTATCCATGTCAGGAGCCTGGTACTGGCACTTGGGACAGCAGAAGTCAGGCGGCTCCTCGGGGGGGCTTCTCCTCTGGCTGGGCAGGGTCGGGTGGAAGGACTGGTGGGCTGGGAAGAAAGAACAGGCAAGACGTGACGGGACCACCGTGCTCAACAACAGGGGTCACCACCTGTGTGACCCACTACATTCCTCCCTAGCCTCAGGGGGCGGCCGGCAGAGAGCCCGTCGTGGCCCTGGAAAGCCACATGGAGGCCCAGCCGTGGCTTCCCTCCCCACTGCCTCCCCCGCAGGCCCAGTGCCCACTCACCTGGGGCCGGGGGCAGGGGGAGCTGGGGGACCTCTATATGCCGCTTCCTCATGTCCTCAATCCTTTGGAAACAGAATCCATCCAATCAATGAAGTGCTTCTGCAAAGCTCCTACGGGACTCGGCAGGGAAGCTATTAGAAGGCGGGGCAGGAGGACCCGAGAGGAAAGTGCGGGAGCCCCAACCTGGGGAGCCGGGAGCCATCAGTCCCTGCGCTGTGGTCCCCGCCAGCCACCCCCAGGGCCATTCCCACTGCTCTGCGCCCAGCTCTCAGAGGCCCACCTGGCCGACTCCTGGCAGCTGGCTTTCAACTTGCTGTACTCCCTCTGCAACTGCTCCAGCTGCTCCTGCAGAAGCTCCTTCTTCTCAGCCAGCTTCTCCCGGGCCTGCCTCTCAGCCTGGAAGTCTGCCTTGTAGATATCCGCCTGGTAAACCCAAAAGAGGGCTGCGCTGCCATCCGCTGGCCACCCACTGAGCACTCTGCCAGGCACCCGGAGACCAATGCAGAGCCCATGGCAGCATGCCGGACACGGGTATGGCAGTGAGCGACCCCAAGCACACCAGGAGGTCAAGGAACAACTCAAGGGGCTTGGCTGCTCAGGAGGGGCCGCTGCAAAAGGACGCCAAAGGGACACACCAGGTCCCAGGACCAGGGCAGGCCACAGAGAGGCCTCACCTGGGCCTTGAGGACGGGAACAGTCTCCATCACGATCTTGTGCTGCTCGGCCTCCTCTTTCAGCTTGTCAATCACTTCCTGCTTGGCCACCAGGGCCTCCTCTGCCTGCTGGAGCTGCTGCTTCAGATCCTCCAGTTGCATGCCCTGAAGACCGGCAGGGGCAGCAGAGCCTGGTCAGCCCAGGGCGGGCAAACCGCCTCCCAGGCAGCCCAAAACGGCAGCCCTGGCTGACGCAAGCTGGCGACACCAGCCGCTTCATGTGTGGGCCTGTGGCGGGACCTCGAGGTGTCGTGGCCCAAAGGAGAGAGGAAGCAGCGAGGCTTTCTCAGGATGGAGGGACCTCTGGAGTCATGTGGCACCAGCTGCCACTTGGGCAGACGTTCACTGCACAGCTGCACGGTCCTCCTCCAACCCTTCGAGGAACAGGGGCCACCCTCACTCACACTCCCATGGCCACATGCCTGCCACAAGCATGGCTAAGCCAAGAGTCACCAGTCCTTCTACTGGGCCACCTGGTCAAAGGTCTGCTTGTCCCACACAGGCATCCCCACCCCCTACACAGACACACCACCAATGCGTCCTCCAAGAGATTAAGTGACTAGCTTTGTACCTAACTCTTCCTCGTGTGACCTGGTTTCAGGCTTCATTCTTAGAAATCTCCTCTGGGTACATTCATGGTTGATGACATCCTTCTTAAAATGTGATCACTAGACTGGGCGCACCTGTAATCCCAGCACTTTGGGAGGTAGAGGCAAGAGGATTGCCCGAGCCCAGGGATTCGAGACCAACCTGGGCAACTTGGCGAGATCTCATCTCTACAATAACCCAAAAAATTAGCCAGGTATGGAGTCTCATGCCTGTGGTTCCAGCTACTTGGAAGGCTGAGGCAGAAGGATCACCTGAGCCCAGCAAGTTGAGGCTGCGGAGGCCGTGAGAATGCCACTGCCCTCCAGCCTGGGTGACAGAGTGAGATTCCGACTCAAAAAAAAAAAAAAACGTCATCACTAGAAATCGCACTCGTTTAGGTCTGATGAGGACAAACTGGAAAAGGGCTCCCAGTCACCTTTCTACGCTGGGATGGAAACGTGACTACGGTTGACCTTGGCTTGGGGAAAACTGAGCCAGGAACCCAGATAGTGCTGGCGGTAGAAGGGGATGGCCCTGAACACACGGACATCCCCAGCCCTATGGAGCCAGCCTCCCCAAGACCCCAGCCCAAACCCCCAAAGAGTGGCCAGCTGGTGTGCCTGAGAGCATCTTCTGGGCAGCGAGACCAAGTGTCCCCTCTCCCCACGGCCTCCCTGAGCTGTCCCAGCTGCAGCCTTATCAAGATCTAGGGCAAGTCCAGTGTCCCTCCCAGAAACCAGCTTGCAGAGTCTGGAGGCACATACTTGCCCCACCGAGGGGCTGCAGTGGGAGAAGCCAGATGGCCCCGCATGCCAAGCGGCCGTACTCACTCTCTTGCGCTCACTGCTCCCCATGCTGTTCTTGATGTGGTTGTCGTAGTCCTGGAAGAGCTGGTGATATGCCACCTGCAGCTGGGCCAGCTTTCGCCTGAGGGAGGGACTTCACTGGAGAAACCCCTTGTTCCGGCACAGCCCCAGCCTTGCCTGCTCCCAGCCCTACCCTCTCCCTCCCTGGCACAGCCCAGACCTGGAATAGGGCCCCCAAGGCTGTGTGTGGATTCAAGGCCATCAGCTCTGAGGCAGGCCTTGCTGGCTGCAACTGAACTGGTTGCGAAACAGCTGGTATCATTTGTCTTAAAGCGAACATTCTTTTCTTTTCTTGAGTCAGGGTCTCACTGTCACCCAGGCTGGAGTGCAGTGGCACGATCACGGCTCACCACAGCCTCAACCTCCTGGGCTAAAGCAATTCTCCCTCCTCAGCCTCCCAAGTAGCTGGGATTACAGGCACATGCCACCACGCCTGGCTAATTTCTTTATTATTTTGTAGAGACGAGGTCTCGCTATGTTACCCAGGCTAGTCTTGAACTCATGGTCTCAAGTGATACTCCTGCCTCAGCATCCCAAAGTACAGGGATTACAGGTGCCAGGCAAAGCAAACACTCTTCAACGTTTATTACAAAATGGAACCGTCCTGCTCTCTTCGCATGTCAGCTTCATGAAAAACTCAAAAAGGCAGGGGGACTGTTCTAGACTAAAGGAGACTCAAAAGGAAAGGACCTGGAGACCCTGGACCGGCTGTGGGTGGAAGGGTATCTGAGGACACGTGGGACACACAGTGAAATGCCAGTGTGGACTCAATACAGTCGATGTGATTGTGTCAAAGAGGATCGGTGTGGGGTGAGCATGGCCAGCTCCCATGAGCACAGCTAGGGGCAGAATGGGCCCTCAGCACAGCCAGTCCCAAACGCACTCCCCTCAGGGCAGAAAAAACCGCATGCCCACTGGAGTGTGCAGCCCGCCCGCCTGTCCGCACTCACTTCTCCTCGGAGGCGGCCTGGCGCTCCATGCGCAGGGCGGCCTCCATGCTCTGGCTCTGCATGCGCAGCTGGTCCACCTGCACACTGTGCTGCTGCTGCAGTGCCTCGCGCTCACTCTCCAGCTGCCTGGCCTGCTCGCTGGCAGCTCGGGCCCTGGCACGGAAGGAGAACAGGCTGGGACATGGAGGGGGCTGTGCGCCGGGTGGCAGCAGACGGGGAGGGAGAGGGAGGGAGGGAGGAAGAGCGGGGCAGGCTCTGCATCTCCAGGCGCCAGGGTCCAGAGCCAGGACCACTGCAGGGGCAGGTGAGCAGCAGGGAACAAGCGTCCCCTGGGACATGCCTGCTTCCACACAGGGCCAGCAGGCACCGGCAGCCAGGGGAAGGGCTGGCCCAGGCGAGGATGAGGCCGCCCGTGCCCGCGCTGCTAGGCCAAGTGAGGAGTCCCCAGGAACTGCTGGTTGGGTTCCCATAGGGAGGTCCTGGGGCCCCGGCAAGAACAGTCTCCACGGAGAGGGTTGGGAGCGACCACTGTTCTAGAAGTGGCAAGGACACTGCCCACCGGGGCATGATAGCACTGGCCTCAGCTCAGCTGCAGTCCCGCCTCAACCCCGCCCTGCTCATAGTTCAGGGGCAGGCTGTCCCAGGCTCAGAGCCTGCACCTGGGTTGCAGGGATACGTGGCACAGGATGAGCCACTGATGGCCTTGGCAGGGAACGCCTCTCTCCCTACACACTCACCACAAGCACTCGTGTCACCTCACCAGGACCCCTCACAGCCCCCAAGTCCACTGATGCAGGCCTGCAGCTCCCCTATCTCCAGTTCCCAAGGCCTCGTGCAGCCCCCACCGCGGGGATGACAGTGAGTGCTTCTGTGTGGACCTGGGGCGGCCTCCCCTGCAGGCAGACAGGCCCCAGTCCAGTCACCCCCCTCTACCCACACGCCTGGCTGTCTGGACCTTTCCCTCCACCCCTCCCTCACACTACCCCTCCCTGACCCACCCTGCCCAGCTCTCTCTGCTGGTCAAGGTCCAAGCCAAGGTCCCTGCCCTCCATGGGAAGACAGCCCTGACCACCCACTGCACTAGCACAGCCTGGGCCACCCAGTAGCTGACCCAGCTGTCCGGAGGACAGAAGCTGGGAGGTAAGAGAACCATGGGTACCTCCCTGACCTTTGACCCTAGGGTCTCGCTTACAAAAACTAAGACCCCTTTGCAGCAGGCCTGAGGTCACTGACGGTCCAGGCTGGCCCTTGGCTGGGGCCAGGCCCTCCACAGCCAGGACACATTTCCTAGGGATCAGGGTGGTCCCTGCACCCAGACTATTTGCAAGAACCAGATGCGAGCACCTGCTTTCCTCTGGGAGCACATGCTAGCACGTGACAGCACATGACCAACCCCCAATCAAAGCTGGGGTGTCCCTGAGCAGCAACTCCGTCCCTGTGGGATGTATTTTTTGCTGTGTCCCTTAGTGGAGTGGGCCTGAGGCAGGAATTCTCCAAACTCCACCCGTGGTTCCTGCCCTGGCAGATCCTGCCACGCACCCTGTCCCCGTCCCTGCCGGCATCATCAGCCATGAGGGGGACTATGCACCGGGTTCTGGGAATCTTTCCAGGGAATCCTGCACCCAGGTGCAGTCTTAGGCCTCTGAAGTGATTCCTAAGGAAATAATCCAAACTCCAGCAAAGGGTCAGAGAGACCTGAAGCTCCCAATACCCACTCTGCCAGTCCCAGGATGCAGATGCAGCGCCCCCGTCTATCCTCACATGGGAGAACTCTCTGGAGGCCCTAAACCCACCTGATTCTTCCAGAAATCCTGAAAGAGGTACCGGGGTGGGCCTCCCCTCCCCACTCACCGGCCCTCCAAGGCCTGTCGTTCCTTCGTGGCAGCCTCCAAGCGACTCTGGCTTTCCTGGAGCTCCCCCAGCAAGGATGTCACCTGGGCCTTGACGGAGGCCTTGTCCTCGGCCATCTGCTGCAGGAGAAAAAGCCACTTTCCATCCGCATTGCTCTCTCTCCAGCTGCCACTCCTGCCATGCCCGCGCCCCAGGTAGCCCACAAGCAGTGGAGGTCCATACGCCATGAGGGCTTCTCTCCTGCCCTCAGCACCCCTCAACTCTGACATCTTGGCGACTTGGGAGCCCGATGGCTACCTAACCCTCCCCAGTGCCCCACCGCGACCCCTCACTGCCAGCTGAAACACATTTCCCAGAGGCCCCTCCCGCTCCTCCTTAACTCATTCCGTCCCTTGTCCCCAGAAGCTGCCCAGCCTCGACAGGACAACGAGGCAGGGAAAGGGGTCAAGTCCTGAGAGCCGTGCCACCAGGGGCCCCTCTTCATTCCTGCAGACGGAGCAACAAGAGACCCCAAAGGAGCACACTGATGCCTTGTGTCTCCTGAGGCTGCTGACACCTCGGCCATCACCCAGCAACCAGGCCATGAGGGCTGACCCCAGTGGCCTTGAGGCCATGGTCCCAGCAGGGAGCCTCTGGCGGCCTCTCTGAGACTCAGTGCAAAGGGAGGTGAGACACAAAGACAGCAAAGAAAACACACGCTGCAGTCCACAGGCCCAGAACCACGGGAGAGTGGGAGTTTTTGCCAAGCCAGAATGGACATTGTCCAATACTGACGACCATGGAAGCTACCAGCAGCAGACCCCTGAACCCCCACGCAAAGACACAGCACACTTTCACCAGGCCCCTGAAGCCAAGGCCAGACTGGGGTGCCCCAGTTCCCTTCTGGGTTCCCGCCTGGAAACGCCTAGGGCCCTCAGAAGACTAAGCTGTGTGTTCCGGCCAACACGTGTCATGGGCCCAGCCTCCCTTTCCTAGAGCGCTGCCCAGTAGGGGCATACGACTGGGGCTGCTTCCTCTGCCCCTCGGAGACGTCTGTGTCGCCTACCACCCAAGTGTGCTTTCTCGGGGACCCAGGAGCCCTCCCTCAGAAGTGGAGTCTTCAGGCTCCATGGGAGGGAAGGAGCCTGACCTTGAGCGTCGGCAGCTCCCAGAAGCTGCCAGCATCACCACAAGGACGCTCACCACCCTTGGTTACTTTCCCTTGAGCTCCCACACTTCCCCCAGCCCCTCCAGCCTCCCACAGTCATCCAGCTGCTGCCACACGCCGGAAGGCAGTGCAGCTCCCTCACGTCAGCAGTTGCTGAATAAAAGCTGTTCTCAAGGCTTTCACGAATGTCTGCCTTTGTTTTTCTCGGACACTGGTGTCCTTATGAAGAGAGGAGGACACCGAGACACAAGAGGAGAAGGCCACATGACAACAGAGACAGACACTGGAGGGGGCAGCTGCAAGGCAAGGAACGCCAAGGATGGCTGCCACCCCCGGAGTCGGGGAGAGGCCTGGGGTAGACCCCGAGGCCATGGGCAAGAGCGCACCCCGTCCACACTGTGACCGAGCACTCAGCCTCCAGAGCTGGGAGACAGTGCGTGTCTGGTGACCCCATCCCCCAGTTAGTAGCACTGTGTTAGGGCCACCCCAGGAAACTCACACGTTCCCAAACGGGAAGTGAGTGCCGTGACCCAGGTGCTCCGCGCAGAGCAGCACACTGGCCCCGGGCGCAGTTCACACCCGTCCTCAAGACAGGGGCCTGGCTGCGGCAAGTCCCAGGGACCTGCCAACAAATGTCCTCTCTGCTGCTGCTCCCTATCCTGCCCTCACAGACAGTGCGCCCTCTCTTGACCACCGTTGCTGGAACCCTGAGAAGACCAGCCTGCCCAGACCACAGGGCCTCAGAACGTGCCCCCTAAAAACACGCAGCACTCCCCTGCAGGCCCAGGAGCCACATGCTGCACCTTCTAGGCAGGCCCGGCCCCTGCCCAGCCCCTAGACAATGACCTAGAAGACCCTGGAAAACCCTGCCTGGTACGGATGTCTCAGTGGACCAGTGGTGAGGACCCTGCCGGCAGTCTGTGCCAACAGCACGATTCGGGGTGGGGACCTTGGGCCACACGGCATCAGTTGGACCTCCGGGGGCTGGGGCCTGAGTGGCCAGGCCAGCACACGGACACCCCATGCCTCCATGACGGATGCCCATGAAGGCCCCAGACACCAGGCCCGGGGGAGCTCCCTGGTTGGCAACACCCCGTGCATACCGCCCCGGCCGGCTGCTGGGAGAAGTGGGTGCCGTCTGCACAACTCCCCTGAGAGAGGACGACCGGGAGCTGGCCCCTGGCCCTCTCCTAGAGCCCGCCCTACACAGGCAGCTGGTGGCACAGGGGGGCCAGAGCCCCCAGCTCTGAGGGGAAGGGCCCGCCTGCCCAGCTACCTGCTGGCACCGCTTCAGGTGCTCCACTTCCTGCAGGGCCTGCTCCCTCTGCCGCTTCAGGTCCAGCTTCTCCAGGCTGAGTCGCTCCACCAGCTTCCTGGCCTCCTGGAACTTGCATACGAGGAACTCCCTCTCCTCTCGCTGGCTGTCCTGGAAACGCCGCAGCTCCTCGCAGCGCTCCCGCAGCATCTGGTTGCTCTGTCGGATGGCATCTAGGGGCAGAAGGGAGAGAAAGGGGGTGATCCTGGCAGCCAGGCACCCACACGGGCCTGTGGCTCAAGAGGCCAAAGGTGGGGACACCCACCATGCTGTCCCGCATGACACCATGCAGCCTCTCCCAGGGTAGATGGCTTCGAGACACTCCTGTTCACGTCTTTAAGCACTTCCAGAAACACTCACACTACTGACACATCCCTAGGTTTCTCCAACAAGATACCGAACACATCAGCTTCACTTCAAAGTCTGTGTCGTGCCAGGCATGGTGGCTCACATCTGTAATCTCACCACTTCGGGAGGCCGAGGTAGAAAGATTGCTTGAGCCGAGACCAGCCTGGGCAGCATAGCAAGACTTCATCTCTACAGAAGAATCAAAAACATAGCTGGTAGTCCCAGCTACCTGGGAGGCTGAAGCGGAAGGATCGCCTATGCCCAGGAGGTCAAGGCTGCGGTGAGCTATGATCAGGCCATCGCACTCCAGCCTAGGCAATAGAGTGAGAGCCCGACTCAAACCAAAACTCCAAAAGCACTGTTTAAAAGGAGGTAAAATTCCCATAACATCAAATCCGCCATTCCCGCTATTTTCAAGTATACGGCAATCCAGTGGTTTGAGTGTAGCCACCAAGTTGTGCAACCATCAGCACGAATGCCGGAACATCTCCAGCACCCATCAGCAGCCACTCCTCCCGCCCCAGTCCCCTCTTCCTCTGCCTCTGCAGACTAGCCTCTACTGCACGTGTCACTGAAATGGAATCACATGCTCGGGACACACAACTTCGCCCATGACATTCCCCTCCAGGTGTTCCAGGCCAAGACTATGTCCTCCCTCCTGCCCTCCTCCCGCTCTCACGGCCCTCTACAGATGCAATCAAGAGCATCTGGGGGGCAGACAACTCGGGGCCCCTGGAGGTTCAGCCTAGGGCCTGACACGGGGAGCGGCCAGGGTTCACTTGCTATCCACCAAGCTTGTACCGGGCAGCGCAGGTGGAGGCAATGCAGCCTCAAGGCCTCTGCCTACTTCCGGGGCCAGGGAAGCTGCTTAAGAGGGACCTCAAGGGTGCCGTGAGCTGGGGTGCCATGAGCTGGGCCGTGAGCCCCACATGGCTGGCCTGCAACATGCACCCCAAATCCTCCCCAGCAAGGCAGAGGTCCCTGAATCAGCTGCTAGTTCTGTGTGCACTAGCACTCTGAAGGCCTCAGCACAGTGGGTCTCACCCAGAACCCTCTAGCAATGACTGGGGAAGTGTTAATTGCCAAAACCAGAGGGATGCTACTGGCAGATAGTGAGTAGAGGTCAGGGATCCTGCTCGACACCCTGCAATGCACAGGATGACCCCATCATGGAGACTCCTCCAGCCCCAGATGTCAACAGTGCGAGGCAGAAGCCCATGCCCTGAAGCAGGGAGGTTGTGCTGGGTTCCAGACCAAGCAGCCCTCGATGGCAAGCTGACTGTGCCGGGCCCTTCCCACCCTGGAAGGAAGGCAATTATCAACAGGAAGAGGAGACACTTGCTCCATGCACAGGTGTGGTCCCTGCTGCAGGACTCAGCCAGTACCACACTCTGAAGCCTACTGAGTGTGTGACTTGCCGGCACAGGGCCCCACATAACATCCCAAACCACTAGCAAAGGAGGAGGGGATTGGCCTGACTGCAGCCTCCACTGGCCGTGGCACGTGCCGTCTCACCCAAGAGCTGCCAGCCAGCTAGGACATGGACAGTCAACTGAAGACAACCAAGGCCCTGGCTCAGGGTAATTCCTGCAGTAAGAGCACTGGCCTCCAGGATACGGCACCTACTGAGGTCCAAGTCCCCAACAAGAACCAAAGAACAAAACTGAAGGGGCTACACACCTGGCGGGGGGGGGGGTGTGCCTCCCCTCCCTGCAACTCTGGACCTAGCAGTTTAGAAAGTCCTGCAGCAGAAACACAAGCATCCCGCCAAATTAGAGGCTATGGGTGCCACCTGGGCACTCTGGGCTAACTCGTGCCAAAGGACCAACGGGCCAGAGTGGGGGATGCTGCCATGCTGGGGGTAGGCAGGAGAGTGCAGCTGCCCCCTGAGCACCAGTGAGGAGGTGGAGCTGAGCAGTGCGAGGACAAGGGGGCTGTCATGGAGACACACATGGCTGCCCAGGAGAGGTCCCAGACGCTGGGTGGGTGGGAGGCTGCCCTCGGCCTTCCCTGAGGTGTCTGCCAGGACCACCTCAGCTGCCCCAGAAAGATACTTCCTCTCACACTGCATTCCCAGGACAGGCCATACCCCCTCCCGGAGCCGACTTCACCCCCTCCCAGGACAGATCACGCCCTTTCCCAGGCCAGACCTCCCCGGCTCCCAGGGCAGGCCACGCCCACTCCCAGGGAAGACCTCACCCATTTCCCAGGAAAACCTCAGAAGACCTCACTCCTTCCCAAGAAAGACCACACCTGCTCCCGGTACAGGTCACATCCCATCCCAGGGCAGACCTCATCCCTTCCAGGGGCGGACCTTGCCTGCCCTCTCCCAGAACAGACAGCACTTAGTGAGTAATCAGTGCAAGGATATAGAGGCCTGGCCGTGTTAGCCCAGCCTGGCAGGGTCATCCGGGTCCAGAGCTCCCTGTAGGGTCAGCCGAGGCTGTCCCAGAGCCCGCCCGCAGCCTCCTTCTCTCTTGGCCGTCCCCTGCTGCTTCCCTGTCCCTCCTTTCCCTTCTCCAGGAGTGGTCCTGAGGGCCCCCTCATAAACCTCCTGTCTGTCAGGGTCTACCTGGCCCCCAAACCAGGAGGGAGGGCAGCAAGCCTTGAGGCGCTAGCTGGCTCTCAGGCACACCCAGCTCCAGACCCAGGGGACACAGAGGTGCCGGTGCAGTCAGCTCCCTCAGCAGGGCAAAACGCCCCACTTTCACTCTCCCACCCGCTGTCCTTCTCACCTCGGAGCTCTTGGTTCTCCTCCAGAGAGCGCTGAAGGGTGTCCGGCGTGCCCTGCTCTGAAGGCAGATGTAACATGGCCGGCTTCCCCGGAGAAGACTCTTCGCCCAGATCGTCCTGATCCGCTGCTGGGCCACCGCTGGGCTGCACCATCTCACACGGCCGGCTCTTCCAGGGGTGCCTGCTCATCCAACAAGGCAGGGGCTGAGAGGGAAAAGCAGCAGAGGCTCACAGCAGACCCGCGTGGGTGCTCTTGCCCAGCAAGACAGCTTTGCTCTGTGCAGGGGCCTGGGCCATGTTTGAAGCGCTGCCAATACGGCATCTAGTGTCACAAGACGCTAACGTGCATTTTCAGTCTAGGAGACAGCAAATATCCCCATTCCAAAGGGAGGTACTTGCAGGCACCTGTGGGAGACTTGGAAATGACATGATCTATCACTGGTTTTAAACGCTCTTCCTAGCACCCAGCTCCAGGCTGTAAACTGAAGAATTTCACCAGAGGTGGCAGATGAAGAAGATTATTTGTGGAAGGAGATGTCAGTGTGCTGGGAATCCCACCCCCTACAGACCTTCACAAGCAGAAGTGAAGGGTGCTGGCCCCTCACCTAGTATAACGGGTGGAATGGTAGCCCCCAAGAAGATAAGTCCATGTCCTAACCCCTGAAATGTAGAAATGTGACTTTGCTTGGGGAAAGGGTCCTTGCAGGTGTAAGATGTCAAGATGAGATCATCCCGGGTTACTCCAGTGGGCCCTAAATCCAGTAACAAGTGTCTTTTAAAAAGAAGAGGCAGGAGATGGAGACACAGAGGAGGTCACATGGAGGCAGAGGCAGACACTGGAGTGATGCAGCCACAAGTCCAGGAACAACTAGGGCCATCAGAAGCTGGGAGAAGCAGGAAGAATCCTCCCCTAGAGCCTTCAGGAGTGTGAGCTCGCCCACCCTTTGGTTTGGGACATCTGGTCTCTAGAACTGGGAGAGATTAAATTCTGCTGTTTTAAGCCACCACACGTGTGGTCATTTCCTACTGCAGCCCCAGGAAACTCGTATACCTAATAAGAGAGGCTTTGAGGAGACCAATCAGAGCCGGTGTTTTCAGAGCTAGAGAGAGAGAGGGAGAGAGGGGACATCTGTTCCCTGACAACATGTGCTGAAGAATGTGAAAGTGGGAGCTGAGCCTGGGACAGTGGGCAGAGAGACAGACTGAGCTGTGTTCTCTGATGAACTAGAAGTAGAGTGTGTGGGAAAGCGCCAGCCTAGAGCTCCTTTAAATCCTGCCCAAGAAGACTGACTACAGCAGAGGAAGCCAATCCCACTACAAGTCTCTGGAAGCGGGCCCGAGGCAAAGGAGGGTGACTTTAATGCCAAATAAACTTAGTAGTTTTGACTGTTAACGCCAATACTGTCCCACTGAACATCCACTGACCCTTCAGCAGCAGCAGCTGACACAGCTGATCTCTGCCTTCTCAATATATTTTCCTCCCTTGGCCAAAATAATGGGGAAACTCCCAGGTATTCACCCAAGAGAAATGAAAACACATATCCACACATGAATGCTTGTAGGAGCATTACTCATAACAGCCAAAGAGTGGAAACAACCCAGTCTATTAACTGATAAATAAAATCTAGTACACCCACATGCTACAACATGAACAAATCTTGGAGACACTCCGCTAAGAGAAAGAAACAAGTCACAAAAGAGTATACAGCAAATGATTCAATTTATATAAGATGTCCAGAAGAGGAATTCATAGAGACAGAAAGTAGATTAATGGCTGCTGGGGAGAGCCACTTAGGGCTGGAGGGGATGGGTAAGTGGGGGTGACAGAGAGAGAGTACGGGGTTTCTTTGGGGGTAACGAAAATGTTCTGGAATCAGTGGTGATGGCTGCACAACTCTGTGAACATATGCACTACAAACCATTGAACTGTACACTCTGAATGGGTGAATTGTGTGGCATGCAAATTACGTGTCAATGAAGCTGTTATTAAAAATAATAGTGGGAGAGGGTTGTGAGGGGTACAGATTGAACGAAATTAGCAACGAGTTGATAACTGTTGAAGTTGGGAGATGGGTACATGGGATTCACTATACCCGTCTTTCTATTTTGGTACATTTTTCAGATTCTCAGTAATAAAACGCTCAAACACTGCCTCTCAGCTGGATTACTGCAGGTCACCCTACTTCTAATCTTGTCCCCTACAAGGTATCCTCCCCACCACGGCCAGAACGATCGGACTAAAACGCCGTTCCGATCACATCCCTCCTCTACTGAGAATCTTACCACGGCTCCCCTCTGCCCTCAGTGAAAGAGTCAAAGGCTCTATAACGGCCTACAAGGCCTTAGACTATCTGGTTCCCCAACCCTTCCTCTCCAACTACGCTCCCCTCGCTCACTCTGCTCCAGTCATAGTGGCCTCCGTGCTGTTCCTCGAACGTGCCAGGACGGCCCATTCATTCTCAGCTCGCGAAACGGTACGAGGGTGGGTACATAGTAATCGTTTCACAAAGTGAGCAAACTGAGGCACATGCGATAAAACAGCCGCCAAACTGTATATGAGGCCTTTCTGAAGGTGTAACGACCTTCAAGCGCATTCAGGTCTAAGGAACAGAAGTCCTCGCTCTAGGGCATGGCCAACCCCGCGGCGGCGGCGGCGGCGGCGGAGGGAGGGATGGAGACAGGCCCGCTCGTCGCCTGAGTAGCCTAGGTCCTGCATCGGCCAGCCTTGCCGTGCTCCAGAAGCGCGCGGCGGGACTGGGCCGGGGCCCAACGGGAAGGGGAGCCTGAACGTCGGGGAGTGTCGGAGGCGGCGGAACGCTCGCCGCCGAAGCCCTGTCTTTGGGGGAGAAGACCACACCTGTCAGCAGAGTCGGTCGGACGTGAGAAGGGCGGGAGCGGCGCACTGCGGGCGCTCTACGGCCCCGGCGCCCCCAGAAAGTCCCGGTTCCGCGGTCGCCCTTCCCTTCTCCGCTGTCGAAACCCCCGCTTCCGGCTTCCGGTGTCGTCACCGTGGGATCCGGAAGTAAAACCGAAAGCCTCGCCCCCCGCACCACCCGGGGCCAGCGAGAGGCATGAGGCCGCGACAGGGCTGCGTGCCGCTCCACGGGGAAATTTGCGCCCACCGACCTCGGCCGGCCCGCAGGACGGCCCCCAGTGACAAGCACCACCCACTACTTCCTACGGCGTCACGGCCCACACGCCTTCTTGTCTCCGGCAGCCGCACCCGCCCTGCCAGGGGAGGAGTCGAGAAGAGGTTGCCCAATAGGATCGGCTGACCCGAGAGCCGGCGACTGTGCCCGGGGAGCCGGACAGCCAGAGGCACCGCCCAAAAGCCGAGGGCGAGGTCGGAGGAGGCGTGGCCACGCTGCCGGCGGAAGGGGAGCTCTTCGCGAAGGCGGGGACCACCGAGGCGAGCGGGAAAGCGGGGCCGTAGAGGTGGGGCCGGGCCGGCGATGGGAACGCGGGAGAACCGCGCTGGACCGCACCCCCGCCCACGTGGCGTCGTGGATGCAGAGCAGCGGGGACGGCA